GGTCACGATCATCTGGGATTTACCACCTTAAGGAGGAAGATAACCTTAGAGCCCAATTGGAAGCTGCAACTAGGGAACTTGAGACGTTAAAAATGAAAAATAATAGAGTCACCCACACAGTTGCAAAGGTAGAAGCTCAGGCTCCATGTTTTGTTTGTGGGGGATTGGATCATTTAGGTCAAGATTGCCTGACCTATGGTGAGATGAGAGGGGTTTATGAAGAACAATGTAATGCATTAGGAATGGGTAGGGAACCTTTTTCACCCTATTCAGAGACATACAATCCTAGTTGGAGGAACCATCCCAATTTTAGTTGGAAGGCTAATCAAAACCATCCCACATCATCCAACAGCACTTGGAATAGTGAAGCTCAACCACCTAGGTCTTACCCTACACCTCAATACAATGCACGACCAAATAGGAATCCTTTAGAAGAAACACTTAAGGCATTTATGGAGGCACAGACTAAGACTAACCAAAAGTTTGATTCTATTCTTACACAGGTGGTTGAAGAAAACAAGGATATCAAGAGTCAACTAACTAAGTTGACCAATGCTCTTACTATCCAAGAACGAGGTAAGATTCCATCTCAACCTCAAGCTAATCCTAAAAATTTACATTTGGTAAAGGAATCTACCTCTAATTCGGAGAACATTCAAGGGGTCAATGCAATCACTACTCGTACTGGTAATGATATAGAGCCATTGCAAAAATCACCTAAATTGAAGGATGCTACTCCAAGTAGCCGTGAAGACGACATGTTGAAAGAGCCTGAGAAGGAGGTCCCAATTCGAGTTCCTTTCCCTCAAGCTCTTAAAATTGGAAAGATTTGAAACAACCAAGGTGAGATTTTAGAAAATTTGAAACAAGTTAAGATTAATCTACCTTTGTTGCATGTGATTAAACAGGTACCAACTTATGCCAAAGTGATCAAGGATCTATGCACAATAAAAAGGAAACACCATGTCAAGAAAACTGCATTCTTGACAGAACAGGTAAGTGCGGTAATTGAGCAAAAAACACCGCCAAAGTACAAAGATCCAGGGTGCCCAACAATTGCTTGCCAAATTGGGTGACAAGAGTTCGGTCAAGCTCTTTTGGATTTAGGAGCAAGTGTGAATTTAATTCCTTATTCAGTTTATTTGAAACTAGGTCTTGGAGAGATAAAACCCACATCTTTGGTATTACAGTTGGCTGATCGTTCATGTAGGAAACCAAGAGGGATAGTGGAAGATGTTTTGCTTTAGATTGATAAATTTTATTATCCTGTTGATTTTCTTGTGTTAGACACTCAGTCTGAAGTTAATAGTGAGTCAAAAATTCCACTTATTTTAGGAAGGCCATTCCTTGCTACTGCTAATGCTCTTATTAATTGTAGGAATGGTTTGATGAAACTTTCATTTGGGAACATGACTCTTGAGGTGAATATTTTTCATGTTGGGAGGCAACCACAAGAAGATGATGAATGTTATCATTCCTACATGATAGATTCACTTGTTGAGGAAGTACAAGAAAAGGGAAATTCTAAATCTTTAGAACACTTCCTTTATAATTTTGATTTAAACTTTGAGTTTTTGCTTTATCCTGATAATGGTATTTCTAATGTTTCTTTTATTTCTAATGCTGATCAAGATAAGCAAAAGAAGTTTTGGCAACCACGCTTTGAGGAGTTACCATGTGAAAGGGAACAACCAAAGCCATCTTCAATAGAGGCACCAAAAGTCGAGTTATCCCCACTTCCTAAAGGGTTGAAACATGCATTCTTGGGTCCAGGTGATACCTTTCCTGTTATAATATCTTCTAAACTTAGTGTTGAGCAAGAGGAGAAATTGATACATATATTAAAAGAACATAAATCTGCACTAGGTTGGACTATAGCTGACATTAAAGGTATAAGCCCATTGATTTGTTCTCATAGGATTCATTTAGAAGAAGGATCTATCCCACGTAGAGACCCTCAAAGAAAATTGAACCCAACAATGAAAGAAGTTGTGAAAAAAGAGGTCTTGAAATTGTTAAATGCAGGAATCATATATCCTATATCTGATAGTAAATGGGTTAGTCCTACTCAAGTAGTGCCAAAGAAATCAGGGGTAACAGTAGTTGAAAATGACGAGGGAGTTCTTGTACCAACTAGGGCAGTAACTGGGTGGCGCATGTGCATTGATTACAGGAAATTAAATGCAGCCACTAGGAAGGACCATTTTTCGTTGCCTTTTATTGACCAAATTTTAGAACGTGTTGCTGGCCATCCTTTCTATTGCTTTCTTGATGGTTATTCAGGTTATTATCAGATTGAGATAGCTTTAGAAGATCAGGAAAAGACTACTTTTACATGTCCTTTTGGTACTTATGCTTTTTGTAGAATGCCATTTGGTTTATGTAATGGTCCAGCCACTTTTCAACGTTGTGTGCTTAGCATATTTTCTGAATTGGTTGAGGAAATAATGGAAGTTTTTATGGATGACTTGACTGTTTTTGGTGATTCTTTTGATTCATGCCTATTTAATTTGAAAACTGTTTTAATTAGGTGTGAGGAAAAAGGACTTGTGCTTAATTGGAAAAAATGTCATTTCATGGTGTCGTCAGGTATTGTTTTGAGACATATTGTGTCTGAAAGAGGAATAGAGGTTGACAGGGCAAAAATCGAGTTGATCTCTAAATTACCTACACCCAAAACAGTAAAAGATGTTCGGTCTTTTCTTGGACATGCTGGTTTTTATAGGAGGATCATTAAAAATTTTTCAGCCATAGCTCAACCTTTGTGTAACCTCCTAGCCAAAGATGTTGAGTTTAATTGGACTCCTAAATGTGAAGAAGCTTTTCGAACTCTTGTCACCAAATTAACTACCGCACTGATCATACAATCACCAGATTGGAGTCTTCCATTTGAAATTATGTGTGATGCTAGTAACCATGCTGTAGGAGCAGTTTTAGGCCAAAGAAGGGAAGGGAAGCCATTTGTTGTATATTATGCTAGTAGAACTCTTAATAGTGCTCAGAGGAATTATTCTACA